ATTGGCCACATGGTGGCATTAACATTTTGTAAGCCAATCAACAATTTCCATTTATCAGATTGCTTTTTAATTACAGAAGCAAGATAATGTGCCTGTCAGAAGACCAGGTAATCTGCCCAGGGACCTTCCCCATTCTCGGTTACCTCAGACTATTCTCAAGGTTACCCCCAGTGCTGCAACAGAGCTTCGGCTGCAGCTTCCCCTCCCTGCTGTCCATACCTGTGGATCCCTCAGACCTCCCCCCCGGCCTCTCCTTCCCCCAGCCTCCAACACCAGCAAGCATATCCCACCCACCCTCTGCCCAACACACCAGACAAACGGGACAGTGTTGGGTCCAGGCGGTTGTGCAAAAATGGGGACAGACCACCAACGTCTAATAAACCAGAAGAAAAGTTTATTCCAGAAACCAGAATCCAGAAAAAAAAAACCTCTATGGGGCACAAAAAGCTTATCAGCTAGCTGAGACCATAGCTGAAGATTTTTTTTTTTGGCAAGGCTGTGATGGAGGCCAGTTTCTGAACCCACATTTTTATAGTAGGGGCACGAACCATTAGGTCTGAACAAAGGAATTCTTACACTCTCAAGGTAAAACTCAGATATACATTGCCTTACTTTACAATCTCCATTAACAGAGTTTTTCAGTCAAACTAGTGTTTGTACTTCTTCTATTGTCTTTCTTGGTACTTCCAGGTGGTGTTTACAGAAGCCCTGTGCTCTCCCCTTTGATGCTGCCAGTTTCACATAGCAGGGATAATGCACAGACCAGAGGTCATGGATTTATTTCCTAAAAGTTGACTCAGCTCACATGTGTAGGCTAGCTCTCAGTTTGCAGAGAGATGCTTTGGCCTTGTAAATAAAGCTATGGGTTGTAAAGCGAAATAACCCACTGTTAATAGTTAATCCTCAAGCTGCTGAGAAAGCTGCTGACAGTCTGTTCTCATTCTCCTAGACTTACAACTTTATATTTCTTTATTTCTATATTCCTATATTTGGAATCTACCTTTTTATATCCTTATTCTTTGACCCTTCAACAGTAAAACAGCCAACACACTCTCTGAATATCCAGAGAGGAAACAGAAACCAAAGAACAAAATACCCACCCAATAAAGACAAGACCAGATATCAGGACCTAGAATTGAAATCATTCCAAACCCAGATGCCTATACCCCAGTGTGAAAAGCACATCAATAACAGCCAGAACAATATGTCTCCTCTAAAGCCCAGTTAGCCTACCACAGCAGATACTGAATATTCCGGCATTGCTGAAGCACAAGAAAAAGACCTTAAGACCAGCTGTATGAAGATACAGAGGTCCTTAGAGAGGAAATGAATAAATTCCTTAAAGAAATCCAGGAAACTGGGCGGTGGTGGCACACGCCTTTAATCTCAGCACTTGGGAGGCAGAGGCAGGCGGATCTCCGTGAGTTTGAGGCCAGCCTGGTCTACAGAGCTAGTTCCAGGACAGGCACCAAAAACTACAGAGAAACCCTGTCTCGAAAATAAAAAACAAAACAAAACAAAAACAGAACAATCCCCAAAACACAAAGAGATGGAAGAAATGAATAAGTCTGTCAAAGAAAGCCAGGGGAACACAATCAACCAATAGGAGGAAATGAATAAATCCCTTAAAGTCAAGGAAAAGCAAACATGAAGGAAACAAAGCTGAAAATGGAAATAGAAGTAATAAAGAAAATACAAAATAAGGGAATTCTGGAAAAGAAAAATTTAGGAATTTGAATGAAAACTACAGAGGCAAGTAATAAGTATTTTGAATCCCCTAGTTGTGGATCTCTCTCAGCCAATGCAATAAAGAAAACCATGCTGAATTAATAAGACCAGGTTTAATCTGTGCAAAGCACCCCCAGGTGATCTCTGGGGAAGCAGAAGAGAAATCAGATGGCAGGCCTAGGGACCAGGTCTTAAATAGTAGGCTATTTTTATGAGCAGCTTCATTGAGGAACCTCCACTTGGCCAGTTTTCTGAAGGCAGGATCTGGAGAGAGAGAGGTGGGGCCAAAGTGGGGTTCCCATCTAAACAGCAAGCTTCACCAATAAAATACAAGAGATGAAAGAATCTCAGGCACTGAAGAAAAGATGAAAGAAATGGATACATCGGTCAAAGAAAATGTTAAATCTAAGAAGTTCTGACACAAATCATTTAGGAAATCTGGGACATTATGAAAAACACCCAACCTAAGAATATAGGAATAGAGGAAGGAGAAGAATCCCAACCCAGTTCAAAGGTTCAGAAAATATCTTCAACAAAATCATAGAAGAAAAATTTCCTAACTGTGATAGTTTGAACGTAATTGACCCCCTTAATCCCACAAGGAGTGGCACTGTTAAGAGGTGTGACTTTGTTGAAGTATGGCTTTGGAGGAAGTGCGTCACTGTGGGGGCGGGCTCTGAGGTTTCTTCTGCTCAGGATACCACGTAGGGAGTCAGCTGATTTCCTGATGCCTGCAAGATGTAGCACTCTCAGCTCCAGCACCACCTCTGCCTGCATGGTGCCGTGCTCCCTGCCATGATGATAATGGACTGATCCTCTGAAACTGTAAGCAAGCTCCCTCAATTAAATATTCTCTTTATAAGAGTTGCTGTGGCCATCGTGTCTGTTCACAGCAATAGTAAACCCTACCTAAGACACTAACTTAAAGAAGGAGATGCCTATAAAGATACAAAAAGCTTATAGAACACCAAATAGATTGGACCAGGAGAAAAACTTTCCTTGCTACATAATAATCAAAACACTGAACATACAGAGCACAGACCTATGCGTTATAATTTTGTAGCACACTTTGTTTAACCTTGTTACAGCTCATAGTTCCCAACCCTATTAGGATCGAATGTAACTCCATAACAGGCCAACGGGAGGGCTATTCTTCTATGGTTATGATAGAAGACATGAACTCCAGGAACCATTAATCCTGTAAAACTTTTTCCTTTTAATTTTGAATCCAACAGTGGCTTATCATTTTCCTTCAAAAGTGCTAAAAGATGCAGTTTTATATGTACTGCCAAATCCTCCCTCATGAACTACACTGTTGCTATATAAGGCAATAATAGTGTAATTCCACTTTTTTCCCCCTCTGGCTTTAAATTGCCAATCAGTGGGCCCTGGCATCATGACTGTAATTTCTCCCACGTAATTTTTATCAACGACTCCTGTATGAACTATGATTCTTTTCATGGATAAACTACTGTGACCCAATAAAAGTCCAACTGTGCTAGGCAGTATAGGTCCCCAATATTGTGTATATAACTTAAAAGGTCATTGAAGAGGTGAAATGGTGGCATCTTTAGGGCAAGGAATCTGAACAGCAGTACTTCCTTGAGCAGCAGCTTGTAAGGAAAGGACGGGTTGAATGCAACCCGAAGCTGGCACATATGTTACTGTTTCTAGACTTAAGCCCTCTAATTTTGCAGGGCCTGAAGGGAGGGGGCATTAATCTGTTTCCTTGTTGTTTACTGGTATTGTTACTGTTGCCAAACAATGTATTGCCATCCTTACCATATTTAGATCAGCATTCCTTAGCCCAATGTTTTCTTTCTTGCATGTGAGGCATATACTAGGAACTCACTGATTTTGAGCATTCATTGGTTGTAAGAGCGATTTACATTGTTTCCTTAAGTGGCCAGCCAATCAGGGGGAATTGAGACACTTTGCTGACATTTGTCTTTGAACAGCATAGTTTCTAAAGCTCGGTTTGTAGGTCCCTACATTGCTACATGACTGTCAGAAAGTCCAAAACATTTCCCCTCTCCTCTGATTATTCCTCGGCAATCTTGATTGGCATTACCATAAGCCAGCTGTTTTAACAATAGCTCTTGAATTGTTCCTCTTTGGCTTGTTCCTCAGTAACATCTTTGGTCTCCCTATGAAATCAGCATAAGACTTACAGGGACTTGGTATGATTTTAATATAACTAGACCTGAAGTCAGCTACCCTTTTTCTTTTTGGCCCCTTTTACCAATTTTAAGGTTTGATCATCCAGTTTATATTCATTCAAGGAATTAATCATCTCTTACTCATGATTAATATTTTTTTATCTTCCTTAAGTACTTCTGGTAACAGTCCTAAGTAATGGCCAAGTGACTCAAAATTGAACAGGGATTCCCCCACCCCGTCTTCATATGTCTTTTCAATATTTTTCCAGACTCTATCTTATACTTCTTTATCTAAAATTCTTTCTTCTAGAAGCCAGGGATTGTAATTATAAATAACTTGCAAGCAATCTAATAGTTGGGATACTTGTACTCCTTCTTTCTTTAAAAAATGATGCAGGATCTCGACATAAGGCAAGGCCTTTCCTGGTTTCTGCCCTGTTGTTCTCACTCACCTCCCCCTGTGAGGGTCCCAACTATGCCATCTTGTATCCAACATAAGGTCCCGGTTTGGGCGCCACTTACATTTATCACTCTAGAGGTGGTGGGACCTGGAAGAATGGAGCCAATAAATGAGGTGGACTAAAATCTCATGCAATAGCCAACTTTATTCAGAGCATTGCATCAGACAACTTATACTCTGAGGGCTAAAAGAGGTTAAAAGAGAAAAATCTGTTTTGCCCTGAATATAATACATTATGAAACAAAAAGAACAATAAAAAGTGCAATAGTTTTCAATGGAGTTAAATTTTATTTAATTAAAAGTAGCAAATGTTGCATAATTTATTTCATTGAGAATAACTGTTCTGTACGACTGCACGGTTATCAAGCACCCTTTACCGAGTACTTCCTGGGTGTGCTGCACTTTAGGGATCCCCCTCTCCAAGCTTCGACATCACCTTACACACTCAAGAAGCAGAGTCACACCGGGCATGGTGGCACACACCTTCAGTCCCAGTTTTTGGGAGATAGAGGCAGGCAGATCTCTGAGTTCAAGGCCATCCTGATCTACAGTTTGTTCCAGGATAGGCAGACCTACACAGAGAAACTCTGCTTTGGAAGAAAAAAGTAAGAAAAAGAAAGGAAGAAAGTGAGATAAAGAAAGAGAGAGGGAGGGAGGGAGGGAAGGTGGGAGGGAGGGAGGGAAGGAGGAAGGAAGAAAGGAAGAAAGGAAAAAATGTAGTTTTATATTGCAAAGTAGTCAGGTGATCTGCCATCAAGTGAAAAGTCTCTGAAGAATATTTTATCTTTTGTTGATTCACAAAATGACATTTTTTCCTGTGCCATTATTAAAGCAGTATTTTTTTCCCAAGTCACTTCCCTTCTGTTAGAGTGGAAATAAACATGTTAAAATTAAGCAGTTTAGCATCACAGCTGGTCAACCACGATGTTATGCCCTAAGTGTACTTCAGGTAATATTGTTGTTGAACATTATAATCCGTAACTAGTACACTTTGGACAATGAATATTGGGAGGTATGTCTGCTTCACAGACTAAGAGTCTATTATAAGATTTGCTGCATCATTTTAACAAACAAAAAAGGGATTTGGGGCTTTTAGGATTGTGTTCGGACAACTTAATATTGAAAAGATTTTTACGTTTTTGTTTTTTTTCCCCCATAATCCTATTTACCTTAATGTTATAGCATCACCACTTGGTTAGATGCGGTTATCATCACTTAGGCTCACTTTGCTCCTTTTGTATCTGTAAACGTATTATTTCAATTGTATTTTCCACTCAACGCACTTGCTACATTCAAAAAGCAAACAAACGGCATCATGGGGAATCACCGATGGCAATAATGCACACAGTCTGTGGAGGACGTTGACTGATCTGGAGGGCAGATGCTTTTGTTGCTGTGATAAGAGCTTATATTATCTTAAAGTAGTTGTACGGGGAAGTATCTGGGGCTGTGAGAAATGCGTATTTCCAAGGAAACCATATCGCATGCGTATTTGACAGACATTCTCTGGGTTGATGCATCGCTAGCAATTAGTATGGACTCTGCATGCAGCTTCTTCAGCCAGTCTTTTGCTCCACCAGGAAGGCCATGGGTTCTACAGACGCCACACAGCCGGTCTCTGATGTGCCTCAGATTCTCCAGCAAAATCCAATGGTTGACATAAAACCAAACATGCTTTATTTTAAGATACCTGTAGTAATAAAAAAAGCAAATTTCAAAGAGGTGCAAATTTGGGTTAAAGGTAAGAATTATTGTTATTGAGATGTACTGTGAATTGGTTTATAGTTTATTTGGAGGAATTCCAGGGTAGAAAACACTTCAATATTTTAAATTAATTTTTACTTGAGATGATTAAATTGTATTAGCTAAATTTTAAAGCATGGTAAAATGAACCCCTATACCCATGAAGCATTTTAAAAAGTCACCAACAATTCTGTAAAACATTTTAAAGTAATGTTTATTGGTTGCTTAATGGCGGCTACCAGTTCTCCAAACCTGGTTCCCCTGACTCAAAACCCAGAAGAGAAGAAAGCAGGTAGGCGATCCTCAGACCCTCACCCCCCACATCCAGCCCCGAGTCTCACCCCCAGTTCTGCAGCAGACTGTCCGCTGTGGCCTCCCCCTCCTCTCTGCCCTGTCTCCAGCAGATCACACAGATCTTCTACAGCCTCCCTCACAGCTCCATCTCTGGGTGTCACCCTCCAAGTCCCTCAGGCATTCCCTGAGGACCTGCTGGCCTCTGCCAGGGAAGCAGGCGACCACCTTCACTCTCTCTCCTCTCCTCCAATTCAACCCCACCCAAATCTAATTCCCAGCTCTGTCTCAGGCTCTCCTCTTCCTCTACCCCCACTCACAGGGGACTAAACAGATCCTGGGCACACCCTGCTTCTCCCCCTCCCCCACTGGGGACTCCTTTAGGCCACCCTCTTCTAGCTCCTCATCTCTATTCCTAAATGTCAGCTCCCAACAGGAGAAACACATTCTAATCAGAGCCCCCAGAGGCCATACCTGGCAGGATCCTAGAAGCATTTCCTACCAGGCAACCCATAGTCACCAGACTCCCCTAAGAACCAGAAGGGGCAACCAAAACCAAGGATCAAAACAATCACTCTACAAAGACAAGACCAGATATCAGTATCTAGAATTACAATCATCCCAAACCCGGATGCCTCGCCCCCAGTAAAATCCATTACAGCCAGAACAGTATGTTTTAACTACAGGTCAGTAATCCTACCACAGCAGGCCCTGACTATTCCAACATAGCCGAAGCGCAAGAAAAAGATCTTCAAACAGCATGTGTAAACAACAGGAAATCAGCAATCATTGGCCATTGATATCTCTCAATATCAGGGATCTCAATTCCCCAGTAAGAAGACACAGACTAACAGAATGAATGTGAAAACAGGATCCATCTTCTGCTGCATCCAAGAAACAACCTCAACATCATGGATAGACACTACCTCAGGGTAAAGACTGGAAAAAGATATCCCAAGCCAATGGACCTAAGAAGCAAGCCTATCATAGCCATTTTAACACTGACAAAGTAGACTTCAAAACAGAAACAATCAGAAGAGATGGGAAAAAACAATACACAGGGCGAAAAAAACCCTGTGGGGTGTAAAAACAAAAACCCAAACACTAGTACAGCATAAATCACATACTGATCCTCATATAGTGATAATGACATCAGTACCTCGCTCTTGCTAATACACAGGTCATCCAGACAAAAACTAAACAGAAAAATGATGGCGCTGACACAATATACCCAATGTACCTAACAGATAGTAACAGAATATTTCACCCAAACACAATGGTTGAATAAAGAAAACTGCCTTGGCCTTTGATAGGGCAGCCCTTAGATGGGCGGAGAATACAGAACTGAATTCTGGGAGGAAGAAAGCAGGGTCAGAGAGCTGCCCACCATGAAGCTGCCAGGTCAGATATGCTGAATCTTTCCCGGTAAGCCACGAGCTCGTGCTGACATACAAATCATTAGAAATGGGTTGAATCAATATGTGAGAGTTAGCCAATAAGAGGTTGGAGACAATGGGCCAGGCAGGGTTTAAAAGAATACAGTGTCCGTGCAATTATTTCGGGGATTAGCCAGGCGGCTGGGAACTGGGCGGTAAGTAGCCCACTCGCCACTCATTTTGCTACAGATACCCGATTTTGATAAAGAAGCCAGAAATACACACTGGCTAAAAAGACAGTATCTTCAAAAAATGATGCTGGTCAGAAAGGTTGTCTGCATGTAGAAGAATGCAAATAGATCCATACTTCTCAACCTGCACTAAACTCAGCTCCAGATGGGTCAAAGACCTCAACATAAAACTAGGTACACTGAGCCTGATAGAAGAGAAAGCGGCAACAACCCTGAACTCATTAGCAGAGGAAAAGACTTCCTGAAAAGAACACTGTTGGCATAGGCACTAAGATCAATAATTATTACATAGGACCGCACAAACCTGAGCAGCTCCTGCAAGGCAAAGACACCATCATGACAAAGCAGCAGGCCACAGAGTAGGAAAAGATTTTTACCAGCTACGCATCTGATAGAGAGTCAGAGGTAGGGGGATCATAAGTTCACTGTGATACTTGACTATACACTTAGTTCAAGGCTAGCCTGGTCTACATCAGATCCTCCATCAGAAAACAAAATCAAAAGCAACAAGACAATATCCTCAAACTGGTTTGATATTCCATCTCAAAATATTGTTTGTTTAAGAGACTGTTTTCCAAAGTATGTTTTGGACACCTCTGTTTTTTTAAATTTTATTAGTTTTTTTAAAGTCAAATGGCTCTCATCACAAGAACAAATGCCAAGGAAGCCTGGTGAGGATGTTAGGAATGGGGACCTCTTTGACATGACTGGTAAGAGTGTGAGCTTCCACAAATCTAAGACATAGAACACCTGTCTGTTCTAGCTATACCAGCCCAGGGAACGCACCTGGAGGATTCTAAATTCGCATGCCATGGAGGTACGTGAACATCCTTCCTTGTTGCTAAACTATTTGCATCGGCTAAGATACAGAGACAGCCTGGGTGTCCATCGACAGGTGACTGGATAAAGACAATGTTTTACACACACGTAAGCTTAACTCACCTGCAAGGAAGAATGAGCTTGTGATGTTTGCAGAAAAAGTGAAACTGGAGGCCATCACAATAAGCAAAATAAGACGGACTCATATGTATATTTTTCATAGGCATAATCTAGGCTGAAATTCATAGACGTGCATATGTATGCAGGGCGTGAAAGTAGACAGGGTACAGTCATCTTGGAGGAAGAGGGGGAGAAACAACAGACTATATGTGCCACGGAAGCATGTTTGTGGGGGAAAGAGCACACCAAGAGGAGAAAGTAATTACATGGGAGGGCAGAGAAAAGGTAAGAACATGGGTATGGAAAGGTCATACTTAACCCCATTTCTTTGTATGAGTATAATAAAATTAATTTCTTAAACACAGAAAAAGTTGAAGTCCATGAAGTCAAGTGGCTTTCCAAAGCCCACAGATCAGACTCTTCAACCGGATACCCTGTCCCTGAATCAACGGTTGTGGTGGCTGATTTTATGTGTCAACCGTGGCACACTGGTGATCCATCAAATTTCCGCTCAGGTGCTTCCGCGAATGTATCTTTATATGATATTACATATTAAATCATTACTTGAATAAAACAGAATGTCTCCTTCTCTGTGAGTGCAGCCTCTTCCAAATAGTGGGGAAGCCTTAAAAGACTGACGTCTGCTGAGGGAGAAGAAACTTGGCCTCTGCTGGCCTTCAAATCTGACTCACACAGCGACTCCTTCCTGGTCTCCACCCCACCAGCCTGCATCTTCAGCTTGCCACTCTTACAACTGAACGAACAAATCTCTTGAGAGACTCTCTCCTCCCCTACTCTCTCTACCTATGAATATAACTGATATACACCCTATTGGTTCTGTTTCTCCAGGGAGCTGTGTGCTATGGTGTGACCCAATGTACGTGGCCCAGTGTTGGCCATGCTGGTGGTTTGTTCTCACCATGGTGAGGTGGTGAGAACATGGTGAGAACATGAAGGGGGCTTAGTGGAAGGAGGCTAAGCTATCCGGGGTACCCCTCTGGGAAGGGTTTCACTGTTCACTCGGGCCTGGAAGTTCACTATTGCAAGAGTAGGCTGCTGAAGAAGAGTCTGGCCCTGAGTCCCTGGCTTCCCATGCTGCGTGTGACACGTGACCTCTCCTGTGTGACATCCCACTACTGTAACACCATCCACGGTGAGGTCCTCCCCAGGTTGAATACAAAGGCCATCCAGATCTTAGACTTTCATCCTATAGAATCGTGAGCTAAGGAAAACTCCCTTTACACTCCACTCCCTGTGCACTCATTTTGTTGGTTTTTAACAGGGCCCCTGACCCTATTAGCACAACTGACTCCATGATGGAAGTGCTATACAGGCCGTGAAACTCAGCACATAGCACCACCTGCCAAGACGAAAACAAAGACTTAATCCGCTAAAGTCCATAGTCCTGGGAAAGTCTCTAAATGTGCTAGCTTTGCTTTTCGGATTCTGTGGTTCTGGTTCTGGCTAACTGTTCTTGTTAAACCGAAGTATGACAACCCAGGGCATGGTTTTCGTGCTGAAAAGCTCGCCCTGAGAATGGCTCAGTGCTACCCTGGGATCCCGAGGACCCAGTGTAGTCTCCAGCATGGTAATGAAGACTTTCTATTGGCTTAACCCCATATCTGAGGAGTCTTCTCTGGTGTGCTTCCCAGGACAGTTATAGGAACTGAAATGGACCAATACAGAAAGAAAACCTGATGCTAATGCTGTCTCTCGGTCACTAGTCACATGACTCTGACAGTTTATTTGATTTCTTCAGTTTCAGTTTCATTATTTCCAAAATAACGAAACCACATTGGACTAGGGCTTCTTAGCTTCAATGACGACATGGGTGGATCTTTGCCAGGAGGAGGGGTGAGAGGCTTTCGAATGAGTTGTTTGGTGGCACTGCTCACTGCTAAATGCCACTAGTGGTACCCAGATGTGAAAGCCAAATGACCTCCAGACACTTCAAAACATCCTCTCATGGGAGCAAGAGGACAAAATATCCTTTGACCCTCTGTTTAAACAACGTTGTATGAAATCATTGTTATAGCAGAAGCATAAGAAATATTCTGCAAGAGTCAGGCAGCATTGAGAATTTCAGAAGAAGGCTCTTTGGCCTTTAGATGGTACAGAAGTGATAGCCTAGGACTCCTCAATCCTTATAAATTAAACCTTCTTTAGCTCACGTGAGACACAAACAGGAAGAACTAGGAAAAGGCCTTTTATAAGATCGATTATCTGCGAGCTCTTAGCAATGTTCATACAAGCCACTAGAGGGCACTCAAGGGACGAGAACAAACTGGCTTTTCAAAAGGAAGACAGGGCTTAGCTCTTCTCTCAAAGAAAGGAAACTTGGCTGGAAAGTAGCCGTCCTTTCAAAATCACATCAACCAATGACATCCTGAGCCAGACACAGCCACACAGAAAGAAAGGCAGACTGTTAGGTTTTGGGGCGCCCAGTAGACATCTGAATCTCTCTGTTGACAAGAATGCTAGCAAAGTCATTGTGTTAGGGTTCCCGAGAGGAACTGATAGAATGAATATAATCATGACTATATTGAATATATATGTATAAGTACACACACACACACACACACACACACACACACACACACGGGATTTATTAGAATGCCTTACAGGCTGAGGTTCAGCTAGCCAGCAATGGTTGTCTACCAACAGAAAGTCCAAGAATCCAGTAGTGTTTCCATCTACGATGTTAGATGGCTCAGCTGGTCTTTAGTATACAGTGGAATCTCAAAAAAGTAGACCAATGCTAGCGGAAAGATGAACACGCCACTGAGAGCGAGAGCAAGCAGGCAAATGGAGCCATCTTCCTTCCTCCAGGTTCTTTACACAGGCTGCCAGCAGAAGGTATGGCCCAGATTTAGGGTGGGCCTTCCTACCTCAAACGATTTGGTTGAGAAAAAAAATCCCCCACAGGTTAGTCCATCTGCTTTGGTGTTAGTTAATTCCATATGTGATCAAGTTTACGACCAAGAATAGCCACCATTGTCATCTTTCTGAAGAATGTTTTGGGTGTTGGGGTGTGGGGCAAGGCAGGGCTGCAGTTTGCCTAAGTAAATGCGGTCACTGTTAGGCTCTTGAGTTAAATGACCCAAAAGAGAAAATTACAGAGGCATTCCAGTAGATGGCGCTGGGGCTAATTCAGGAAGCCTGTGCCAGAAACATCCCGTAAGAACCTCTTTCCCAGCAGCATCTTTTCCCAAGTCTTCAGGACATAATTGGAATGACTTCAAATGAAAGATATCTCAGACTTTAAACCAAGTTTCCGTCCTAGTGCTGATTTCCAATCCTGACTCAAGATACACATTCCCTCCTAGTCCAAGTAACTTGGCATCACACACGCACACACACACACATACACACAGACACACACACACATAGACACACATACACACACACGTACATGCACACACATATACACATAGACACACACACATAGACACACACACACACACACACACACACACATAGACACACACACACACACAAAGGTCCAGACCCAGGAGGCAAAGGAACAGATTTTGTTCATCAAACAACAAGTGCCATTTATTTCAATTTTGATGAGACGAAGTCTTGCCTTAAAGGCCAGCATAGTCTAGCACTACATAGCTCAGGCTAGCCTAAAACTCAAGAGTCTTTTGTTTGTTGGATTACAGGCACAACCTACTACGTCCTGCTCCTTTGGTTTGATTTGAATTAATGCAGATTAAGGTGATTTAATCACACTGTTATTGGCAAAAACAAGCAAAACTGACCTAAAAATCTTCTAACATTCATTCACTTTGGTGGCTGTTATAGACAGAGATGTCTGTTGTGTCTTTGCTTGGCAGTTTATGGTATTAAAATGCATAGAATGCGGGCATTATGATACTATATGGAATTCTGAAATATAATAATGTGCTCAAAAAGAGAGCTATATGAACTTGAAGAGCTGGCTATGTAGCAATAGAAGAAACATGGTCATTATACACCAGGGAGACCAGGTGTCATGGTTTGAATAGGAATGGCCCCCACAGACTCAAGTGTTTGAATTCTTGGCTCATAGAGAGTGACAATATTAGGAGGTTTGGCCTTGTTGGAGGAAGCGTGTCACGGTGGAGGCAGACTTTGAGGTCTTATGTGCTCAAGCTAGGCCTAGTGTAGCAGTCTCCTGCTGCTGCCTGCCGATCAAGATATAGAACTCTCAGCTCCTTCTCCAGCACCATGTCTGCCTGCATGCCACTATGTCTCTTGCCATGACAATGTTGGACTAAATCTCTGAACTGTAATCCAGCCCCAATAAAATGTTTTCCTTTATAAGAGTTGTCAGGGTCATGGTGTCTCTTCATAACAATAAGACACTAAGCAACCTGAGGTCAATATGAGACGTTCTGAGGCAGGCATAAGCAATAATTTCACAGAAAGAGATAAAATTCACCATGTGGTTAAAGTTAGGAACACTCAAGGGATAAGAAGGACATAAATATCTTCACTTGCTATAATCTTCAAGGTAACCTAGTAGTGCACTTGAGCATAAAGACTCTACTGCTGCTATTACAGGGCTTTTTGTTGTTGTTTTTTGCCTATTTTTAAAAAAATATTTACATATTTATTATGTATACAATGTTCTGCCTGCATGTATGCCTGCAGACCAGAAGAGAGCACCAGATCTCATTACAGATGGTTGTGAGTCACCACACAGTTGCTGGGAATTGAACTCATTCAAGTGCAGGCAGCACTCTTAACCACTGAGTCATCTCTCCAGCCCCCATTTTTGCCTATTTTTAGAAGAAAAAAAAAAGGTTACTTTTACCAGAGTTGAACTTATTGTGCAATAATGTAGAAACAAGCCCCTCCAGGATGGTGGGGGTGACAGCCATGGGCAGGAGACAGAACTACTGCAGTATAGGGAGCTCCATAACTTTTGTGAAATGTGGTAATGAGGAATGAAGGCAGGTAAAGTCACATAAAAGGTAGCATTTAGGCAAAGAGCAGGCAAAACAAAAGTCAAAGACAGCAGAAAAGTTGAAAATTGAGGATTACGTCAATGGTATAGCACTTGCCTAGCAAAGGCGGGGCCTGGGTTCAATCCCCAGAACTGCCCACGATGAAAATAGAGGATTTGAAAAATGGGGTTAGGATGGCGAGACAATTCAGTAGGTAAAGGCACTCGCTGTCAACCAAATGGCCTGAGTTCAATCCCCAGAACCCGGATTGTGACAGGAGAGAACTCCTGTAATATGTTCTCTGACCTTCGCAGCTGACTGTGGTGGGCACATGGGGTCATGTGCATGTGTGTGCATACAAAATAAATAGATGTGAAAAGGGATGGGGACTTTCCTATCTCAGTCTCACATGAACCTCACTATGCTGTTGGTCCTACCCACCTCCGTGATTCATGGTTAAACCAAGAATAGTACAAGTGTGTGTGTTTGATCTTCACAAATTTCCCATGAAAACAGTGGATGGTGTATCAGTTACTACGACAACCGTCTGGCACAATCAATTTAAGGGGAGAAAAAGTCCATTTTGTCTCTTGGTTGTGGGGATTGCAGTCCATGATTGATGGTCCTGTTGTTCCTGGGCCTATGGTGGGGCACAGCACCAGGGAGAGAGTGTGGTGAAGAACCTCATGGAAGGAAGGCACAAAAAGGTAAGAGAAAGAGATCAGGGTCTCTCAGGCTCCTTCAAAGCCATCCCTCAATAACCAGGAGACCTCCCATGAGGCCCAGACTTCCAGAGCTCCCAACATCTCCCCAAAGCACCAACTAGGAGAAAAGGCATTCCATTCATGAGCCTTTGGGGGTACACTGAATAGAAATATACAAAGATTCACTGTGAAACTGAAGTGGCCAAATTCCACTTCACATGTTCGCAGACGGCAATGCCTGACTTTTGAAAAAAACATTGAATTATAACAATTGATTTTTCATCTACCAATACCCATGCCAATATACTAGAGGTTCGGTCAGGGAAAGAGACAGTTTTCTGACAGAACTCAGCACTTCCCAAATCTAGCCCCTTTCCCAGGTCTCCTCACACTCGCGGAGGCACCTAGTAGCATCTCACAGGCCACGAGGGTCCCCCTAGCTGAGCGTCTGGAAAATGTCAGCCCACAGATAACTGCAGAACAGTCTTTGTTAGGTTGAGGCGCATGAGCATTCGGAAGACGTACCATTAGGGTCTACTTAATATCCTGAGAGTTAAGAGTTTTGCTCACATTCGGCTTCTTGGTGCAGTTATTCAGTTTCTGTCCTATCATCCTTCTGATGGAAATGTCATCTGCACTGGGAAACACCTGCTTCGTTATTCCTGGAAAAGATCACAGCGGCATGCGAGATCATTTTATGAGGGGTTTGCATCCTATGAACTGAGGCAAAGCATGGTCTGTCTCAGATTTACAGACGTAGCCCGAATTGCCAGGCATGTTTAAGCAGATGGATGCACCCAGGCTTTGGAAGCACAGCCAAAGCTAACGGGAAGCTGACACTATAAACACATTATATATGCACGTCTTCCTATGACATCATTCAGTTGTAACTCTCCTGCTTGCTATGGACTGCATGCTTTTAGCGCTGAGTGTCATGGACTGATTTCTATTTATTTCTAACGTTAGTCAAAATAAGTTGATCACTTGTTAGCTAAGAAATGGTCCATCAAGAGCTTGGTCAGAGATGTTCTAAATTTTTTCATTGCTTGTAAAACCAAACCAAATCAAAACCTGGAAAAGGTAGATCATTGTTTTTTAAGGCGGTTCACTAATTTGAAAGCTATGTGGTTAAAATGATCTCTTTCCAGGAACAAACAATACACAAATGATATAACTAAGAAAGAAATACAAATTGTTACTGAAATTTTAATGGTAAAGTTGCTACTTTCTGAAGCTTTGAATTTTATTAACTTGAACTTCTCAGTTTAGACACTTTACTTTTAGTTTGACATCCATTTCTTCTTTTCTTTTTGAGATAAGGGCTCCTGCAGCCTAGGCTGGCTCCTGACTCTGCTATGCACACAAAATGATGTCAAACTCCCGGTCCCCCCACCTCCACCTCTCAAGTGTTGAGATGACAAGGATGTACCACCACACCCAGATTTAATAACCATTTTAATGAAAAAAAGACTGTGAAAATCAATGCGATCAAATTATCACCTATGATTTCTTGAACTTCATTCTGATTCATAGCTGGTTTTACAACTTTGTCTCTTGAAGTAGAGGATTTTGCCCCAGTCAGACTGTGTGTGGCCATGTACTCAGTTGTGTAAAGAACTTGCATTAAATCATTAATAAATTTCTGAGGCTTGCTCTTATTACAACGTGCAATCTGCCAGTTTTCAATCTTGAACTAAAAAATAAGAAATGATAACAGAGATTAGAAAAAGAGAAGAGATGATACCCGGAGAAACAACAATACGAATTAAGACATACCATAAAACATCAGCACTCTTTAAGGTGGCATTTTGCACTTTTAGTACATATTTTATATTTCAGTTGGAGGAAATAGTAACATGTGAAATATCTGTTTGCCTTTATGAGGTATCTGCTAGGAATATATGCAAATTTTTCTTGGGCCATCTAAATGTGATGCCTTATAAATAACCCTATCTGCAAAGTTTCATACTTATGTTTGTAGAGTCATGACTCTCAGAAGATGCGCCTTCCTAAGCCCTGGTTCCTGTGGATATGTCACCCCACTGAAAATGTACAAACGTAGTGAAAGTTAAGCATTTTGAAATGAAAGATTACTCTAGATCAGTCAGGTTGGCTCAGTGAGACCTTAAAAGCCGATGATGGGGGTAGAAGAGAGGAGCAAAAGGAGAAAAGGGACAGGAGGAAAGATGTGAAGTGCGGGGCTTGACTATGAGATGGTGGGTGGAGCCACCAGCCCAGTGTGAAGTGAGCTGGTGGATGGAGCCATCAGACCAGTGTGAAGTGAGCTGGTGGGTGGAGCCATCAGCCCAGTGTGAAGTGAGCTGGTGGGTGGAATCATCAGCCCAGTGTGAAGTGAGCTGGTGGGTGGGGCCCTAAACCCAGTGTGAAGTGAGCTGGTGGGTGGAGCCCTAAGCCCAGTGTGTAGTGAGCTGGTGGATGGAGCCCTAAGCCCAGTGTGAAGTGAGCTGGTGGATGGAGCCCTAAGTCCAGTGTGAAGTGAGAGATTGAATGGAGCCCTAAGCCCAGTGTGAAGTGAGACATTGGATGGAGCCCTAAGTCCAGTGTGAAGTGAGCTGGTGGATGGAGCCCTAAGCCCAGTGTGAAGTGAGCTGGTGGATGAAGCCCTAAGCCCAGTATGTAGTGAGCTGGTGGGTGGAGCCCTAAGCCCAGTGTGAAGTGAGCTGGTGGATGGAGCCCTAAGCCCAGTGTGAAGTGAGCTGGTGGATGGAGCCCTAAGCCCAGTGTGAAGAGAGCTGGTGGATGGAGCCCTGAGTCCAGTGTCAAGTGAGCTGGTGGAAGCCCAGTGTGAAGTGAGACGGTGATGGAGCCCTGAGTCCAGTGTGAAGTGAGCTGGTGGATGGAGCCCTAAGCCAGGCATTAGGGGTTTTAGAAATAGGGATGACCAATCTGCAGCCAGGAAGGAAGTGGGAAATTCATTTCTAAAAGCACTAGAAACCAAATTCTATAATAATGACGCAAATAAGACCAGACTTCTCAGAATCTCCCATAAAGAATGTTCCTGCTTGCACACTGATGCACACCAGTGAGCCCTCAATTGGATCCTGAGAACATAAATTCATGTGTGTGTAATCAGTAATTTGTGGTAATCTGTTCTACAGCAACAGGAAGTTATATACAAAGATTCAGATACTCTATTATTAGACCACTCATTCAGTACCACCATGGCAGAGCTATTTTCTTAGGCTTATTCCTGATTTTAACAAAAGTTTTACATTTTTACTTCCTGTTTCTGGATCAGGGAAAACGTAAATAGCTGTGGTCATGAAGTATACAGAGGCCCACAGTTCTCTCTGTGACACAGTTTCACCTTTAATGTAAAAGTCTACTTCTACAACCGATGCAAGAATATATAGTTCAAGAGCTGCATTTATTCCCAATGTTTGCTTTTAAATTTCTAAATTCGGTGTCTGTTTCACAAATATTAACTCTCATGATTAAAATAAAAAGATTCTTTATACTAGGGATCTAATGATCGGGACCTAAAGCGGCCTAGACTTATTGTGACGAGCGCCCACCGCTCACCCTTCTTTGGCTTTTGTGCTCAGCAGTTTTCAGAGACCCAGGGGGAGGGATTCCGACCAACCTGCTTCTCACCAGGAGGCTGCTCCTCCTCGGCCTTCAGGGAACTTGGGGAGCTGGAACTAGAGTTGGAATTACTGCACAGAGAGGCAAAAGAGTCTGGGGAGGAGTTGTTGGTTGATCTCCAGAGAGTAGATGCAGGTGTGGACGCCACTCCTCCACCCTTTAGCAGGGTCTCTGCCATTGCAACCAGTTCTTCAAACTGGGTGACTGCCTGTGGTAACACTGAAACAGCAGGAGGAAGCAGCATTTCACAAGCACATTAATAGCAGTGACATTTTCATGTTTTTCAGTGTGTGCGTTGCAAAGGCGGTTAGCCACATAGTGTTCTGCCTGCATATATGCCTAAACTCCAGAAGAGGGCACCAGATCTCACAATAGATGGTTGTGAACCACCATTTGGTTGCTGGGAATTGAACTCAGGACCTTTGGAAGAGCAGTCGGTGCTCTTAACCTCTGAGCCATCTCTCCAGTCCCCACATTTAACTTTTTGTTACAATCTGCTTGATAAGGAGTTTCAAAATGTTGGCTATATTTGAATGTTTATGCATCACTTTGAATTAAAAACAATGTTTCAGTCTGGTAGTGGTGGTGATGACACACACCTTTAAATTCCATCACCCGGGAGGCAGAGACAGGCGAATCTCTGAGTTCGAGGTCAGCCTGGTCTACACAGTGAGTTCCAGGACAGCAAGGGGATACACAGAGAGATCCTGTCCAAACCAGAACAAAACAAAACAAGCCAAAAACAATTTGAGGGCATGAAGCTCTCGTGCAGAGACATAGCTGATACCAGGACCAGTCACATCCTAAAGACCCACAGTAGGCAACGCAAGTGTCAAGATACAATTAACCATGGGTTGTGAAAAATTGTGATTGTTTAGGCAAGAAGCCAATTCCATCCAACTAATAAACTTGTGGCACTGTGACTTGAACCTATGTTGTCACATATTAAAATGAATTTTGAGGATAAACCGAATTATTCTGCTTCTTTTTTGTTTTTGAAAACTTACACATTCCAAGTTTCATTCAGACATGTAAACTAGTCTTCTTGCTATAGCTTGCTTGTTTTCTAAGGACAAATAGCTTGTCATTGGAGCTGGAAGAAACTTTGAACTTTGCTCAATTTAATTCCTCGCTCAATGGTTGAGGGTGCTGCTTGTAATAGCGGGAAAGACTCTGAATTCCTTTTTGGGGAGCATTTTTATTTTTATTTTTATTTATTTATTTTTTTAATATTTTTATGTTTTATTTAACTTTATTTTATGTGCAATGGTGTGAAGGTGTCAGATCCCCTGCAACTGGATCTTCAGACAGCTGTGAGCTGCCATGTGGGTACTGGGAATTGAACCTGGGTCCTCTGGAAGAGCAGTCAGTGCTCTTAATCACTGAGTCATCTCTCCAGCCCCCGGGGAGCATTTTTATTACGCATACTATTGAACTATAATCTTCACAATAACTGATGATAAATCTAAATCAGTACATGTATGCTGTGTTAATAGGAAAATCTTAAAAATAAATTTATTTATTTTATATCTTGGCCACAGTTTTCCCTCTGTCATCTCTTCCCAACCCCTTCCTCTCTGTTCCCATCTCTCAATCTAGTCCACCTCCATTTCTGTATAGGAAAAGGCAGGCCTCCCATGATATCAACAAAACATGGCATATCAACTTGTAGTAAGACTAAGTACCTCCCATGTATTAAAGCTGGGCAAGGTGACCCAGTATGAGGTGTAGACTTCCAAAGGCAACAGAAAAATTTAATAAAGAAAATCTCCTTGTTGTTCCTTCAGTAAGTACATTCAGCACTCCCTGTGTGTTGCCACGAATCAGTCAGATATTACTGAGCAAGGTAAACCCTTAGATTTCCCTACTGCTAATGGTGGCCAATCCTTGAGAACAGGCCTAGGGGTTTATGCTAATGAGGTCACTGGGCGGGGAGCCTTCCATACCCGGTAATATGAAGTAGAGGCTGGACACAGACAGAAATCCGAAAAAACCCACCGTATGACAGAGACATGAGCAGTCAGCCAACCCATTATACTTACATAACGAAGCTGCCAGAAGTCTTTGGGTACCAGAGCTCTGGGGAGCTTCCTGAGGGTCAATATCCTATGCATAGACACACAGTGACCATCACAACAATTTTCTATTTGGTAGCCTAGACTCCACCTCTTTCTCTTCGTCTACTTCGCACCCCCATCCACCGAAATAAATACAGCTGTGACTATAATGGGTTTCAATGAGTTCTGTGAGTTTTCTCCATCAAATTATCAAAGGTGAGGGTGATCTTGGAAAAAATACCAAATTTGCACTTGGTGTCAGAAGTCTTGGGCAAATTTACCATTCTGGAGGCCGACTTGTAGACCCAAAGAAATAAAAACGTCTAAGTGCCAGGAAGAGGAATAAGCCTGTTGTGACTTTTATATGAGACATCACTGAAGGTTAATTCGATGAATGGGTGAACCCCAGCTGGTTGTGGAAACTTTAAGGGGGTGGGTCTAGCTGGAGGAAGAGGCCCCACAGCGCATGCCTTTGTGGCATAGTCCCCGGCTCCTGCTCTGCCCTCTCTGCTTCCTGTCTATTCTGACACCAGCAGCTTCTCCGCGCAATGCGCTCACTCACTCTAGGCCCAGAAACAGAACCAGGTGCTCACAAACTTAACCCTCTGCGACCATGCGCCAAAGAAAACCGCTCCTTCTTTAAGCTGCTCCTGTTAAGGTATTGTGTCAGAGTCACAGCAAAAGCAGTTAGTACTGGGATTTGACCTAATCCAGAGCAGGGAGGACTCAGCTAAACACTGAGCTGGGAGCTGGAGGTGAAGCAGGAATTAAAAAGCCACGGAGCAGGACGGGGTCATCAGAGGCAGAAGGACACACGCTCTGCACTTGAAGACTCGAAGGTCAAAACCGGGATGTAGAGAAAACAGAATCCAAACACGAAACGAGGATTTTTACTGGTTTCTCTGACACAAAGGATGGACATGTATATATCAGCACAAGTCGTTCTCATGACTACTTTTTTTTTTTAAAAAAAAATTTATCTCTGCTGGTCTTTACTATTGTCGTAATTAGAACCACACTGACACACAGCGTTGTAGCCCAGCTCTCCTTCCAATAAGGCTGGCGGGTGAACGTTTGGGCCATTTCGTTAGCTCTGCTCAGAACACATGGATTTTGAAGTCGAATTTACGTAGTCAAAAGGAGAAACGAAGTAAGTGAAGGGGATGAGTTTGAGCCTGAGGGCTCCTCATGAACTTGTGAGGGCTCCTCATGAACTTGTGAGGGCTCCTCATGAACTTGTAGAAAAACTCCTTGCTTCAGAGGTGCCCACTTCTTTAGGCAGAGACAAGCTTTGTTTGTTCCAGAAGTCAACATAAGCAGCTTCAAAAATACACCCTCCATTTTGCATTTTAATCTTTTGCTCTGCATTATACCCTAAAATTCATTCACACTGTGTGCATAAATAATTGATTACTTCTCTTGCTAACCAGCATTACACTACTCTGCAGTTTATACTCTGTGATGAATAATCAATTTATCTATTGATAAATTTACCTATTGATGAATTGTTATACATTTAGCCATAGAAGCCTTTTTCCTTGAATGTCATAGTTTAGTACACTTTCAACTATAACTCTTTTTTTTTTTTTTGGTTTTTTCGAGACAGTCAACTATAACTCTTATGAGGTTAAATATATGTGTGTTTGATTCTTGATTATTTGAGTTTCTTTCATAAATATGTGTCAGACTGTTGGAAGCCATTGATGGTTGGTAGAGGTTGCAGTCTACCACAGCCTGGTAGCTTTGTTTAAGCTACCAGAACTCCCTCCCTCCCCAGAAAAGCTTCCTGCTTTCTACTCAGTCTTATCTGGAGGATGAGGCTAGGAAGCCTGACTTATCTCAAGGGTGACCCTTGACATAGTTCCCTGCAAACACTCTTCCCCTGTGACTCACAGTAATTATGCAAGTGCTCTAGGCATTTTGATGGGACTCTGCTGTCGCGGACAAAGCCTTGTGGTAGGAGTCTGCCACTTAATGCAAATTAGGGTTTGTCCCCAGGCTCCCCAATCTTATATATTCCTTATACTCAGGAATAAAATGGAGCTGATTCACCAGAAGTCTGTCTCCTGGAGAGATGTCTCTGCTCATGTTCATGGGCTGGTATAAAGTTATCTGCTGTTGCTATTGCCTCCTGCCCTCTCCACCTGGTAGCCGACAGGCCGAGAGGGCAAGAGGATCCCTCTACATCTGAGCATGGGATACTAGTATTTTTGTTGTTTTGCTTTGTTATAATACAGGGTCTCATGCAGCCCTGACTGGCCTCATGCTTACTAGGTAGCTGACACTTGTAGAATAATCCTTCTGTATACTGTAGGAATATATGTCACTGTGATTGGTTTAATAAACAGGCTCACTGGCCTATAGCTGGGCAGGAAGAGGTTAGGCAGGGAAAGCCAAACTGAGAATGCTATGAAGTAGAAGGGCAGAAGGAGCAGGATGAACATTAATAAAGGTACCGCCATGAGGCACAGGGTAAATAAGGAATATGGGTTAATATAAATGTAAGAGTCACCTAGTAATAAGCCTGAGCTATTGGTTGATCATTTATAATTCATATTCAGTCTCTGAGTTAGTTATTAGGGACTGGGTGGTTGGGACCAGAAATGTCTGTTTATAGAGGCTGGATTTGAACCTTGAACTCCTGGCTTTTTCTTTTCTTTTTCTTTTGAGACAGAGTTTCTCTGTGGCTTTGGAGCCTATCCTGGAACTAGCTCCTGTAGACCAGGCTGGCTTTGAACTCACAGAGATCTGCCTGCCCCTGCCTCCCAAGTGCTGGGATTAAAGGCGTGCACCATCACTGCCCAGTCAAACTCCTGGTTTTCTTGTTTCAATTTTCCAACTGTTGGGATTTACAGGTAAGCAACAGCCTACCCAATTTTTTCCCTTTTCTTTCATTTATTAAGAACTGACAGAACTTCTAGAGAATGTTTATAAGAATTCTAGTGTAGCAGTTCTCAAACCATGGGTCATGATCCTTTTGGGGATTGAATGAACTTTTCTCAGGGGTCACCTAAGACCTTTAGAAAATACAGATATTTACATTATGATTCATAACAGTAGCAAAATTACAGTTATAAAGGAGCAATGAAAATAATTTTATGGTTGGGGTCACCACAACATGAGGAACTGCATTAAAGGGTCACAACATTGGGAAGGTTGAGA